CCCCCCATCACGGACAACTCGATCCGCCAGCACGCACGTCTGCGTTCCCCGAAGTCCCGTCCAACGCTAGAGTGAAAACTAGTGACCGCAGTCATTTCCCCGACGCCACGCACTCGGGCAGACTTCCGCGCCGCATCAGAACACCCTTCGGCTTTGCCATTGCTGCCCTGATACTACGAAAGACGCGGCTTGAGCATTCCACCAACTGAGCGCACGTCCGTCTTCTACCCCGGTGCAACTTCTACTTTTCCAGCGCATCCGCATCCGCACAGCCTCGCTGTTCTGCCGACAGGTGGTGTGCGCCTCCCCTTTTCCGCTTACCCACAACACAACAAACCGTCGCCATGGCCGTGTCGATACAAGACCGCACCGACGAGTTCCGCTCTATCCTTGCGCAGGCTCAGCGACGGCAGGCACAATCCAAGACGGGCGCGCAACGGCAGTCGCTCCTCACACAGCAAGAGAAGGCACAGGCAAATGCCAACCCACGGCGTCAACGCTCCGAGTTTGCGCGCAATGCCGCAGACGTTGCCCGAGGTGTCGCAAGCACCATGCAGAAGCTCGAGCGCCTCTCACAGCTGGCCAAGCGCAAGACGCTCTTTGACGATCGGCCCGTCGAGTTTGACGAGCTCACTTTTGTCATCAAGCAAGATATGACCGCCCTGTCAGGCCAGGTACAGGCTCTCCAACAGATGAACTCCAAGCAACACCCCAAGTCGAAACCTGGTGTGGATCAAGAGGGAGAGCACAACAGCAATGTCGTGGGACTGCTAAAAGACAAACTACAAAACGTGGGAATGAACTTCAAGGATGTCCTCGAAGTGCGGACAAAGAACATGCAGGCATCGCGGTCGCGCACCGAACAATTTCTGTCAACAGCTGCCCAGCAGTCCCACAGCAGCCTCGAGCCAGGCAGGACCGATTCCCCGTTATACCAAACACCCCAGCGAGGCCGCTCTCCCGGAGGTTTTGGCCGCAATACTAGCGCAGTGCAGCAAGACCTGCTCTCGCTCGAGCCTTCCGGTTCGTCGGCTCTGACGCGAGGCGGCCCCCAATCGGATGCACAGATGCTGCTGATGGAAGAAGCTCAGCCCCAGAACGCATACATCCAAGAGAGAGGACGGGCAATCGAGTCGATAGAGTCTACCATTCAAGAGCTAGGAGGCATTTTCAGTCAGCTCGCACAGATGGTATCTGAACAAGGAGAGCAGATCCAGCGTATCGACGCCAACACGGAGGACGTTGTAGACAATGTCGAGGGTGCCCAACGCGAATTGATGAAGTACTGGAGCCGTGTGCAGGGTAACAGGTGGCTTGTTGCAAAGATGTTCGGTGTGCTAATGATTTGTACGTGTCTTCCATCTCCAATGTATGATCAGAAAGCTAACAAGGCGCAGTCTTTTTACTCTGGGTACTCATTTCCGGATAGATTTGCGCTTCAATGTTATGGCATGTTCCGGCGTTCAGGAAGACTAGACGCACCATCACCAGCTCGGTCTGGCATCGTCCTGGTAGAGAAGCTGTTGCATACAACGCTGCACTCTTTTTCACTTGTATCTATACTTTTTTATTGTTTGTTCCTTTTGTACCTACGCTCCCATGAACACAATTACGTCATGAGCAGGCCGGTTAAGTCACTATTAATGAAGCTTATTCCTCTTTCACGTGCGACACCTTGAGACTTTCTATCCCGAATGTGGGGGTCTATGTATCCAGTAGCCCGATCCATGTCTGTGCACTATCCGATCTTCACTTGCGGGCCTTGGCTGCATATGTACAACATGCGGGTCGGTACATGGTCGCTTAGAGTAGTAGCAGCACCATTGCGACGATGCTCGGAATGGACAGCCTTTACTCTTTTGTGAATTTGAATATGTCTTCAACAGAGTGCTGTGACGGGTGCACATCTGCTTTTTCTCGACGGGAGTACGCGCCAATGATCATCACCACCACATGCGTCATCGATCAAGACAACGGTGCGATCGACCATGAGATGAAACCAAACTGCGCGGTTATCCACATTTACAACTGCTCGCTGTGGAAAAGTCCTTGCGCCGTATCACTAACGTCGCAAAAAAGTACATATGACCGGTGACTCAAGGATACCCCCAGTGTCCGCCGCTAGTATGTACATCAGCGCGGCCAGTCTTGACGTCGGAACGGGTGGGAACTAAGCTGCAATGCCGAAGCTATACGTCAAGCACTTGGTAAACTACGGGGTGAGTACTCCGGCTACACCGCTACAAGTCGTAGGAAGACGGTTGACAGGCGCCGAACTATGCATGCCACCTCCAGGAGAGGCCGGAGGTGATAACAACGGTTGTTAGATCGTCGCTAGGTCGCCCCATTGGCGGTGCGAAAGCTGGGAAGTGCGACATGACGAAAAGAACGGCGCAACATCGGCCGGATAGCTGCGTTAGTTTGACGGGCGCAAACACATTAGCGGCCTTGAACAGATGTCATTTTGGATTCGGGCGAGTGGGATGGCATGCAAGCGACATGCTGAATGCAGCATCAGCAGATGATCCACCTGCTGCAGAGTGGGCGTGTGGGCGTCTTCTATCTCACTAGCGCCCTCTCCTTCCATCCGTATGTCAACCACGCTCTCACACCGACTTGCGACCTCGACACCTGATCCGCTCTGTCTCTGCTGCACCCCTCCGTTAGTCGCCCAAGATTGTGTGTGCCGGCCCTTGCGCCTCTGACGCCTCTGTCCTACGCAAAGAGACACAACCCTTTCGCCGCCGCCCGCATGTCTTAGTAGCGAACTCTTGACATCAACCAACAGGCAAGTGCATGCGCGCTCCGGCGCAATGCTCGACCGCATATGGGATGAAACCGCCGCCCTCGGCACGGCTCCCATATTCGACGATGCTGTCTATCTCTCCGAAGCCCTGGGCCTGCCTATAAATCAGAATGAAGACCATCTCGACGCTGAGTTGGCCCTGCTTGCTCGCGAATCCGGTATCCCGGATCCTTATCGCTTCCTACCCCCGCCCAAAACCATTTCTCGTGCAATCTCGACTATGACGTTGGATAGCGATCAGAGGAGTTCCCGCTCAATTCATTCCCAGGAAACACAGTCAACGAGCTTCACCTCGGCGCCTTCCCGGACATCAAGAGACCATCTATTCTCTAGCGACGGCTCAACCACGAAGAGAGTGCCCGCAACGCTTCCACAGCCCACATGTATTGTCGAGAACCCTAAAACCGTCGCTGAACGTCCTGAGTGTGACTTCAAGTCAAGGCAATCATCGACACTGTCCATCGTTCCTTCTGTCGTTTCTAGCTCGACATCGTCACGGCAAGCGCACTCGCGGAAGAAACGTAGCTCCGCCATCTTCTCCATGTTTCGAAGAGACTCGGGGTATGTCAGGGCCAGTGAATATTGTAACCCTCTTGCTAAAATCTTTCCAGTGGCACTTGCACTACGTCGGTCTCACACCACGGACACCACAGCAAGCCACGAGGCGCAAAGCTAGCATGCGGTCATACGTTGTCCGACTACGATATCCGCGCGCATACACAGGAGGCGTCAAAGAGAGGCTCACATGTTACGCCCGAATGCTGTGGAAGCGCAATACCGCGCTCAGTATTGGAGATCGTTCAGACGAAAGAAGAGACTAAGCTTGTTATGGATCATGCTGTCGACCTGTCCGACTCCGCTTTCCGTGACTCTGGCTATTGTGAGATCGCAATATCAACTGCCGACCCGCCACATCCAACCAAAAATCTTCCACGTTCAGAAAAGCCTTCTGCTTTGGCGCAAGTTCCAACCAGACGCAGCCGGCACGAGGCGATCAATATTGACTCAGCGTTGGCGAACGAGGCTTTCAAGAGCTTCAGGACACAACAAAAGGAGCAGTTTGAACGTGTTTCTTCTTTCGAGTGCAATCAGAGAAAAGCTTTGTCAACGTACCATCGGTGCTCCATGGTGCTTCTAGAGGCGCAATATAGGATCAAGAGAGAGGAGCGAGTTGAAAAGGTATGTATGAGACGAACTATCGTGATACATGTCAGATGACTAAACCTCTGCAGCACAACGAGGACCTCGAGCGGCTAGAAGAACGACAGCTCCTCGCTGAACATGACCTTCTGAAAGCACAATCCCAGGAAACACAAAACGTAGCAACAGCATTAAAGTATATCGAGGCTTACTGCTTGGGTACAAGAAACGATGAGGAGCGCGCGCATACGGTGTCAGAAGAAGATTTCAAGAAGCTAGATCGTCAAAGAATGATTCAACAGGATCTCCCAAGAAAGCACGCGAGTGCGATCAACGTTTTACGGGCAAAGCAAGAGTTGGACACAAAACGAAGGGCAGAAAAGCAGGAGGCAGAGCTGCAACAATTGCTTGTAGATCATGAAAATGAAAAAGTTGGGAAAGAGGCTGAATATCAGAAAGAGTTGGAGAGACTTGGCGCAGTCATCGAAGAGAGACGAAAGAGGCTGTTGCAGAGGTGGGATCTCAAATTTGAGATGTGGCGACGAGACTGGGAAGCGCAACACAACACGACTCTGACGGCGGAACTCGAACATGAGGACTGGCCGTCTCGCAAAGCGGATCATGCCATTTCCATACCCGAAACAAGTTCGCTTGCTCGATATGTCAAGGCTGCAGCTTGAGGCTGCGACATGTCTTCCCCTCAGGTTCTCGTACATATTCTTTCTCAGATTCCGCTTTTGATGTTACGAAAGTGGCTTCACTCTGGGCGTCGTCATCATTGTTGTTATCGTCTTACAGCGTGGCGTTACATCGGGCACGGGCGCCGACATGGAATCATCTTCCATTCTTTGCTGCATTGGCGGGTTTGTATCTTCGTGACTATATACCCCTTTGCGCACACGAACACGCGTTTTCTCCATTTTTTTCTCTCCGGATATAATATGCTAGATTCCGCGTGTAACAGACCAAAAATCTCGTTTGGTTGGATAGCTAGATATACAATGTTATGTTGTACTGAAACTCCGTCGACGACGGAGCTTGAGATCACTACACCACGTTCCGGGTCCCAGTTGCGTAGTGACCCAGACTTTTGGGTGCAGAGAAGGCTCACCCTGACAGTTGGGAACATCTTTTGGGTGGGGTGCAGGCGGCCCAAGCTCCAGACTGTCTGCATAAGCTGCTACGAGCGAGGTGGTGGTGTGGTAGTCTAGACGGACTAGTGTTAGCAAGCCAGTCGCTCGGAGCAGCTCTCCGCCCTTGCGGAGCATTTTCCCGCCCCTACGGCGATTAAATTGCGAACGAACGTCGTTCACTAGAATCGACGGCTTGGCATGAAGCTGACCGAAAGAGGAAATATGCGTTTATTATGCTATGGTGTGAGTATTGGTTCCCGCAGGCATGTGCGAAAGGTGGCCTTTTTTTCTGACATAACATTGTGAACTGCAAACAGAATTCATGGCGTCATTGCGAGGGTAGCAGAAGAGATTTGCAAGTAGTTGAAAACGTAAGATTGCTATATGGGTATCATGCTAGATCGTAACTCGTAGAAACATCACTATCCTTCAGATAGCCTTCCAAAATGCCCATTGACTTTTGATGCCGGTCGTGCAGCAGTCGCGGCCGACGATAAAACCTCAGCCCCGAGTGAGATCGCTGTTGTATTGCTCAACTGGAGCTAGCATATCCCATTGCAAGCCCTCTTGGGCATCCATAGCTGGTGGCAGATGATCCAAGCCCATTGCTACATCCATCTCATTATCGTCCTTTAGAAGTGAGAGCTGATCAAACTGCTGGTCAAAGAAGCCATGATGTGCATCCATGGCCTTAGGATCAGGGTAAGGTAGCATGGAGGTGTCACCTTCCATGAAATATTGGACCGGCGTCTCTGGCATGCTTGGCGTAACAGAGTCGAACATATTCATCGAATCATCGAAACCACCAATCCAGAACTGTCCTCCACTGATGGCGTCACGCTCTTGAATCATCTCCTCAATCTCATCCTCGGGGATGTTGTGTTCGGCGAGCAGATGACGTCGTAGATCACGGTCCATGTAGAAGCGATACTCACATGTCTTGACCAAACAAGGGATCTCTCGGCCTTGTTCATAGCCAACTCCCGTAAGCATGGTCAGCATCGAGGGCTCTGACTTCTTCTTTGACTTTGCAGCTTTTCGCAACTGTTTGCGGTTGCCGAGACCAAGGTGATGTGTCCGTACGTGCTGATCGAGAGATGATTTCGCTTTGAAGGAAGCGCCGCATGCATTCTCGCCATTCCAGGCTTTCAGATCTGCGTGTTTTGAATTGTGCAGAGCATCTGATGTACACGAGTATTTGAACTGTTTATCGTGGACGGTCTGGATGTGGACAGTGAGGTTGTGTTTCCGGTTGAAGACACTCTCACAGCCTAGTCTGGGACAAGCATACTGCGATTGTTCTTGTGGGTCGCCATGTGCTGTGTCGAAGTGCGTCTTTAGATTGGATGCAGTCTTGAACTTCTGGCCGCACTCTGTACACACAGGTGGATGGCACTCGGTCGTGTGCGCCTCTAACTCTTCTTTCGTAGCGAATGACGGAAGTTGCGCAGGAACTGTGATTGTTTCCCCAGGCTCGGTCTGCATTGTTTCGGGTTCCGTACCAGTCACGCATAGCATGCAGAAGTGACCCTGCTCTTGCTTGTGTACATGTGCCCTTTGCATATGCCGTTGCAACGCTCCCTCAGTCTGAAAGCCACTCGTGCATCTGTCGCCTGTCTCTTCATTCACACGAGGGCAGGTGTAGGGCTTGACTTCCAGGTGCTGACTCTTGATATGTGCCTCCAACGCCTTCGCCTTCCTGAAGGCTTCGTTGCACGGGGGAAAGTCGGTACAGTAGAACTTGGACTCGTGGACGTCTCGATGCCTCTGGAGCCTGCCATTGGAGGTGAAACTCTTGCCACACCCATTCCAATCGCATGTGAACGTTCGCTCGGTTGCCGGGTCACTATGAGCGTTCTTTAGGTGGCGCTGCAAGTGGTCTTTTCGTGGAAACGTCTTGTCGCAGCCGGGTTCGGTACAGACGAACGGTCGCTCCTTGTTGTGGCTTCGCATGTGCGTCTCGAGGCGACATGGTCGGTTGAAGCGTTGCGAGCAGGTTGGACACACATAGTTCCAAGCGCGACGAGCCTCGCTCTCAGCCCTTAACGTGCCATTGTCGGTGTAGTTGACCTTGTAGTCGGTTGAATCGTCTGAAGCATGATCCTGCTCGGTAGTCTTCTCCGCAGCACCTCCGGGAATGTTAGCTTTTGGTGACAACGTCATGGTGGCTGGGTTGTCGTACCTTTGCGAGACCTCTTCTGCAGCAAACTACCAACGTCCTCTGTGGATTTCCGTTTCGGAGCCATAGCGATGCCTACAACTTGCGTGTTGTTTATGACAAGCGGCTCATGTATGCGGAGAACCATGGACGATATTCAAGGTCCACTATATTTTTCGGACGCCAAGAGTTCTTGCGCTAACGCCAACGCCGACGCCGACCCCTGCGATTTCTGATCGCGAACTTTCTTTACCGTCGCATCGCATCAGGCATACACAGTGCACCCCATCTTTCACGCGTAATCTTCCACACAGCTTCACAAGACACACCCACGCGTAAACCCTACATCGACTGCAACAATGTCCGACTACGGCGGTGACGACTACGATGGCGGTGCCGGTGATGTGTATGTTAATTCCATCTCCATGCTTCCTTCACCAGGTGCACTACTTGGAGTATGGCAGAAGATGTTCCGACATAGTCTGACTTGAACAGCGACGAGCCTCTCATCGAGTTCGACGAGGAAGCCGAGCCTGATCTCATGGACGACGAAGACGACCAGCCCGGCGGTGGTGAAGACCCAGACAACGCCGACCCTAATGACGACAATGTAGTAGTATCAGGCGATGCCAACGCGGCTGCTGCAGCCAAAGAAGCATCCAAGAACACAGTCACGAGCGAAAAGGACAAGAAGGTTCCTAACGACAAGCGCACAACCACTCCATACATGACAAAGTACGAGAAGGCGCGTGTCTTGGGTACAAGGGCGCTTCAAATCAGGTAGGCTACAACTCGACAAAAGGAAGGCGCGTAAAAACTAACAACGTCGCAGTGGTAACGCTCCGGTGTTGATTGACGTGGAAGGAATGACCGATCCTCTGCAGATTGCTGCGAAAGAGCTGCAAGAGAAAAAGATCCCGCTCGTTGTACGGCGGTATCTGCCTGATGGATACTACGAGGACTGGACTTGTGAAGAGCTTCTGACATGAGATATTGAGTGTTTGGTTGCATCTGATAAGGAGTTTTGTTTGGCTAAATATGGGGCATATCGGCGAAAGGAGTCTCTAAGTGGTTGCGCAATTATATCCCGAATCTCACCCGATCTCCGTTAAGTCCAAGCCTTGTCCGTTGCATGTGCGGATCCGCGGATAACATTCCTGTAACAAGCCAAAAGTCTAGAGGAAGGTGGGGTAGCTTGACATAGCTATTTGTCCCCGCACTAATTCCAGGCACAACGTCACCCAATGCGCCTGCTCACAAAACTTCCAAGGGCCCCTCGACTTGTATCTGCATTTCAGCCTCCTACACGATTCTCCCGCTATTCCACACTGTCCAATATGTCTTTCGAAACCACAGGTACCATCGCCTCCTTTGGGGGCAAGCTTCTCAAGTTGAAGCACAAGTCCGAGAGCACAAACACAGACATGGAGCTTAACATGTTCCTACCTCCACAAGCACTCAAATCCGGAGCCAAGGTCCCCGTTCTGTTCTACCTTTCCGGACTCACATGTACCGGCAACAACTGCTCAGAGAAGGGCTTCTTCCAGCACGGCGCAGCTAAGCACGGCATTGCTGTCGTTTACCCCGACACATCACCAAGTGCGTCTTTTCTGTGAATTCAAGTTCCGAGTACCCGACTAACCCACTGCCTAGGAGGTCTTCAGATCGAAGGTGAAGATGAAGCATACGACTTTGGATCTGGCGCAGGCTTTTACGTCGATGCCACCAAGGACCCATGGTCGAAGGGCTACAAGATGTACTCTTACATCACCAAGGAGCTTCCTGAAGCATTGTTCTCATCCTTCAAAGAACTCGACTCGAGCAAAGTCAGCATCACAGGACACAGCATGGGTGGCCATGGCGCATTGACATTGGTCGGTCTACTGTAAACCTGTTCCGAAGGACCTCACTAACCATCAATGATAGTTCCTCAAGAACCCCGGCATGTACAAGTCCGTCTCTGCATTCGCCCCCATCTCCAACCCTATCAACTGCCCATGGGGCCAGAAGGCATTCAAGGGATACTTTGGCGAAGACCAGCAACAAAAGTGGAAAGAGCACGACGCGTCAGAGCTGGTAAAGCAATGGAAGGGTCCTCTGGAGGTGCTCATCGACGTGGTGCGTATACCAAAAGACAGTGCTAAAGTATGTTACTGACTGGGCCAGGGCACCGGAGACAACTTCTACAAGCAAGGCCAACTACTTCCAGAGAATTTCGTCAAGGCAGCTAAGGAATCTGGCAACGACAAGGGCATCCAACTACGTATGCAGCCCGACTACGACCACAGCTACTACTTCATGGCTACATTTGCCGATGACCACGTCGAGTGGGCGGCGAAGCATCTGAACGCGTAGTAAGTCGGCTTGACGACTGATATCACTGCAGACTGCTCACTACGACAGAAGCGGTTCGGGTATCAGAGAGAAACTATAGAACATAATAGAATCCAATTCGTACACATGTTGCAAATTGTTGCTGCCATATTGGTGATCACATGTCCTGCTGATGCCTACTCTCTCAGGCACCAAAATCCTGTGTATCAATTATGGGAAGATCGACGTGATGGGCTATGGAAGCTGTCGACATAGAGTAGTGATGAAGAACACATTTCATTTGCATAGTTGATTCTTAGTACGACGCAACGTACGTAAATGCTGCGAATCTCGCACTGTCTTATCGACAGGTCTACAATGTCGGTGAAATACTCACCGAGTAGGCTGCTATTCCAAAATCAAAATCTCGTGCGCACGTGTCACTCAATCAAATTGGGCGTGCGGACATCCCACCATGGACTCTTGGCGCTGCCACTTCAGTCACTGCACAGCTGTTTTTGCTTCCCACGCCTCGACAAAGACGCAGAACCACTTTTGCTTTTTTCTGCCGCCAATCTGGTTGTGTAGAGCACAGAACCTAAAGCTCTGACCGTAGTTTCTTTCACGCATAAACCCTTGCACACGCCGTACGTCAGCCCCTCGTGCCCCGCCTCTGCCTTCACCGCTGTAACGCTTCCACGATGCAGTCTCCCGCGCTTTGCTCCATGATTCGGTAGCACACGAATCTAGTTTCTGTTCCACTCCATCACGTCCGATGTACTCTTCATAGCTTCAACCACATCGACGACGCAAGCTGTGACTCAACGCTGCTTGCTCAGCTCTGAAAACGCGACAAAATGGAGAGCCAGGTACGCATGGCTGTTTCCTCTCTTCGATCACGTACTCACGATATTCAAGGTCGAAAATGCCATACAAATCGCGGCAAACCCGACGTCGAGCCAGGAACTACGCGGCCAAGCTATCGAATACCTGAACCAGCTCCGCGCAGAAGGCTCCGCATGGCAAGCCGCCCTCACACTCTTCGCGCGCGACCCTCGCCCGACCGACTTCGTCCGCCATACTTCACTCGAACTCGTAAACAATGCCATCCAAGAACATCGTCTGGATGAGCAGAGTCTTGCATACATCAAGGATACCCTGATGGGTTACATCCACGCATCCTACGTACCAGGCAGTGGAGCTGCAGACACAAGCCACATTCAGAACAAGCTCATGCAGACAGTCACTTATCTTTTTGTAGCACTATACCCTTCTTCATGGCAGTCCTTCTTCGACGACTTCCGGTCCTTGGCTGGCGACCAGTCCACCATCGGGAACGTCAACACAGCGACGACTTTGCTGTACTTGCGTATGCTTGGTCAGGTTCACGATGAGATTGCCGATCAGCTAGTCGCCCGACCAGATGACGAGAAGAAGCGCAACACAGAATTGAAGGACCTCATTCGACAGCGAGACGCGCAGAAGATCTCATTATCCTGGCAAGAAATACTCGCAAAGTGGAGGGAGACAGACTTGAATCTCGTGGAGATGTGCCTGAGGACCATCGGGCGCTGGGTCAGCTGGACGGACATCAACTTGATTGTCAACCAAGCCATGATCACAACCTTCTTGGAAATGGCGGGTCAGCAAGGAATCGGCGATCCCGAGAGCGCTGCTGGAAAGGTGCGCGATGCTGCAATCGATACTTTTTCGGAAATTGTGGGCAAGAAGATGAGTCCAGCGGACAAGATCGAACTGATCACTTTCCTGAACCTCTCCGAAGTCGTTGGTCAGCTCATCAGTAGTCCAGCTTTGGCCGACTTCAACAGCTCGAATTACGACAACGATCTTGCCGAGACCGTCGCTAAGCTCGTAAACAATATCGTATTCGATATTGTAAAGATCTTGGAAAACGAAGCTGTCGAAGAGCACATCCGGCAACGCGCAGACGATCTCATTCGCATTTTCACTCCCTACCTTTTGCGATTCTTCGCCGATCAATACGACGAAGTCTGTTCGACTGTCATTCCATCTCTCACGGATCTTCTTACGTTCCTTCGCAAATTGCAAAAGAAATCTGGTTCCATACCTCCACAGTACGCCGCAGTACTGCCACCCGTCCTGGATGCGATCATCGCGAAGATGAAATACGACGAAACAGCTTCGTGGGGTGAGGAAGGTGAGCAAACAGACGAGGCAGAGTTTCTCGATCTCCGGAGACGCCTCCACGTTTTGCAACAGACAGTGACCGCCATTGACGAACCCTATTACATCGAGACCCTCAGCCGCTTGGTCAACGGAACGTTCGGACGCTTATCTCAGGGAGATCAGTCGCTTAACTGGCGCGATCTCGAACTGGCCCTGTACGAAATGTACTTGTTCGGAGAATTGGCTGTGAGGAACCAAGGGTTGTACGCGAAACGCGAGCCATCATCTGCTGCAGCTCAGCAGCTTGTGACCATGATGAACAGCATGGTTGAATCTGGTCTAGCAAATTACCCACACCCTGCCGTTCAGCTACAGTATATGGAGATTTGCGTTCGTTACTACCAGTTCTTCGAACAGAATCCTAACCTCATTCCCAAGGTCCTCGAAAATTTTGTCAACCTTACCCACAGCCAACATGTCAAGGTCCGCTCGCGATCTTGGTATCTCTTCCAACGTTTAGTCAAGCATTTACGGGCTCAGCTAGGCAACGTGTCCTATGACATCATTCAGGCGGTTGGAGACTTGCTTACAATCAAGGCTGAACTTCCTGATACTTCAGAAGACGAGATGTCGTCTGACGAGGAAGACCAGTCGGCAGATGCACTTTTCAACTCGCAGTTATACCTGTTTGAGGCCGTGGGCTGCATCGCCTCGTCCAACACTGTTTCAGTAGAGAACAAGAAGCTCTACGCACAGACTATCATGAGTCCTCTGTTCAACGATATGCAGCAGACTCTTCCTCAGGCGAGGAACGGCGATGAAAGGGCTATACTCCAGATCCACCACATTATCATGGCCATAGGGACGCTAGCTCGAGGTTACTCTGATTGGGTGCCATCAAACAACAACAGCGCCGTACCACAGAGCGAGGTGGCCGAAGAGTTTGTGAAAGCATCTGAGGCTATTCTTGTGGCTGTTGAATCCCTCAACTCCTCTGGGTCTATTCGCCACGCTGCGCGTTTTGCTTTCTCACGTATGATCGCTGTCCTTGGCTCGCGTCTACTACAACAGCTGCCATCTTGGATTGAAGGACTTTTGTCACTCAGTTCCTCTATGGATGAGATCAGCACGTTCCTCAAGGTCCTAGGTCAGGTCATCTTCACTTTCAAATCAGAGATCGCTGGTATCTTGGATACCGTTATGAGCCCAGTATTGCAACGCATTTTCACAGCATTGGCGGTCGTTCCTTCAGGCACAGATGACGAGATCCAGCTAGCTGAGCTTCGTCGAGAGTACCTAAACTTTATTGTTGTGGTTCTCAACCAGGGTCTCGGTTCTGTGTTTGTTAGCAATGGTGAGCCCAATTAATCGAGCAGATATAGTAACACTGCTAATATTGTGTAGCGAACCAAACGACTTTCGAGCCTATCATCTCATCCATCGAGACATTCGCTCGCGATACACACGACTACCCTACCGCACGCCTCGCTATCTTTGTGCTTATTCGTATGGTCTCAGTGTGGGGTGGGCCTGACAAGGTTGGGCCCGGCGCGAACGCTACACCCACATCTCCCGACACCGCTCAAGCACCATTGCCAGGTTTCGACAACTACGTCGTAGAAAAGTTCTCCCCGTTAGCATGGTCGATACCCGCATCGCCAGGGTTCAACTCTAAAGATGCGCAGGCTAAGCAGGTACTGTTCGAGACTGCCAACCTGCAACATGAGATCATCAAGAAGGTCGGCGAGTCTTATGTAGATCGCCTCAAGAGCGATCTCGGTGGCATGGGAGTGGGCGATGATGGTGCGGACCAGTACCTGCGCACTCTTGCCGGCTCATTTGAAGGACCGAAAAAAGAGAAGGAATGGCGTAACTTCTACGTCCAGTTCGTGGATCGCATGCTTGCAAGCCGAGGGTAGGTTGTGATTTCTAGTTGGGACCTGAGGAACAGTGTGGAGATGGGATTCATCAGTGGGTTTGGCGTAACATTTGTCCATCATGTAGGCGGCATCATTCTGCATCGTAGCGGGCGCCAAAAGGATTGGCATTGAGTTTGATTTCCGTGATAACCCCCAGCAGTTAGCTCGCATTTCGTAGTGGAGCTTTGTTACAAAATAAATTTTTGATCATTGTATATGTTCAGTGTTTGCGGTCTTTGACTATGTTAGTATGTTACAATGTCTGGCGTATATTGTAGTGAGGCACCCCTCAAGAGACGCGAGTGTACGCGACAAGGTCGCGCCTGCACTTCGGCCCCTACGCTTCCATCCTGACCTACGCCAACATTGCAGCATCATCATTGAGGTCGGCATCTTTTTAATGGCGCCTCGTCCCGTCCCGAGACTCCCATCGTTCCCTCAAGCAGCATAGCATGAACCCCGATATGCAGCGTGATTTATGGCGGTTTCCCAGTTTAGAGTTGCTAGGGACCCGCCCAAGCGCTTCGAGTTTCACCCCCACCAACCGATTCGCCAGGAATGCACCCCTCGGGAAGCGCGCTCCTAATGAAGGGGAAAATGTGGAAAGTGTGCTTAGCGCCCATGTTGAGGATTCGCTATGCGACTACGCCGCAATGGATGGGTACATGCAAAGGCAAAAGAGGCGTCGTTCGCTGCGTGCGAACTATCAGCCTCAGCTTACCGGTACCTTACATCTCAGCGTCTTCGCTCGACGTTAGTACGGCTCTTTAGCATCGTACGCGTCACGGAGCGCCTCCGAGTCAACATCGGCAATTGCAATCATGAATGCCAACAAAGTTTCGCGATGGAGCCCTTTTCGTCGGCACAAATTGAGTGGACAGACAGTGGAAGTGGAAGAGAGGGATGATGCGCCTGCGAATGCAAGTACCACACCCGTGACCGGGGCGAATACGAAATCGAAATCGAAGACTTGGGAGACGACGGTAGAGAGAGTTGAAAGCTGGCCTGAGGAGGCTCGGCCACTGAAGAAACACACATGGCTTTCGTATCTATATGGCATCGGAGATCTCATACTGGTACTGCTACCAGTATACTTCATTTGTAGGTGGTCGATACACTACGGTCGCGCTAAACATAGCTGATAGCATGCAGTACTTGGGGTTGCAGTCATTGCGCTTAATGGAAAGCCCACTAAGGGATCTGACTTCGGTAAGAAAGTTGAGTTTGCCATGGATCTAGGTCCAACCATGTTTCCCATCGCCTTTGCGGCTATAAGCGGACGAAGCATGAAGATGGTTGCACGTTTCCTAGCGGAAAGAGGGACCAAGATCAGCGTACGTCGCGGGTACCCCATACTATTGTGCCCCTCAAAGACACCCGACTGACTTATGCTTTAGACTCTGGAGCTACTTATGGCTAGTCAGTCCGTTTGGGGAACTGTCGAAAGTCAACTCACCATGCAGCGACTGACGCTTGTTGGCATTAATCTTCTTTTCCTGTGGGCTCTATCACCACTCGGAGGTCAAGCCTCCCTTCGACTCATGACAAGACAAGACCTAAACAGTTTCAATAACACAAAGCTTCGCTACATGACTACTGGCCCTGGCGGAAGTATGTGGGGCTTGTCGTCCACTTACGTTGGCAGTGGGAAATTCGCGGACGCAGGGGCACTCTATACTGCAGCCTTGTTGGCACCTTTGGACACCAAAACCGGCCCAAGGGACCCGTGGGGCAATGTCAAAATTCCGAATCTAGAGTTGCTCAATAGCACAGGCCCGGATGCGGAAGGCTGGGTTACAGTTGGGAACATTCAGCAGCCAGAGATATACTCTGCACTTGTTGGACTATCAGTGGTTGGACTTCCGCATGCAGGCAAGTCAAACTTCACTATCGAGTCGACCTATCTCACAGTGGACTGTGGTCGCTTCAACCAAACACCATACCCAGGTACCGATAACGACACCAACCGAGCTCAAACGGACTTTGCTAAACTCGATGAGCTTGTTCCTGGTAAAGTGTGGCCCAACAAGTCAATGAACAACCCTTTCGAGCCAACCGAGGGCCAGCGTACGTCGTTCTTTATCGATACAAACCTTGGGTCGACCTGGGATACAGAAGACCCTACGTATGAGCCACTCCTAGGACGTCTGGACGCTTACATCGGTAATTATAACCAGACCCGTCTCGACATGAAACTAGCACAAGAAACGAGGGAGCTGATCTACACTTCCATCTATGCAACCAGTTCGGATTCGTCGGAGTTTGGCTTGAACATTGCGCATTGCAAGTTGGCTCAGAAACATGTTGAGGCAATGATCGAATGCATCGGAGAGCAATGTGCAGCGAAAAAAATCAGAAATTCACTTTCAGATTTACGTCCCTCGATGTTCACGCCTTTCGAACACGGTGTGATCATGGATGGATTTGCACGGCAGTTTCCACTTGCAGTGGCCTTCACCATTGGATCAAGTCCGAGTGAGCGATACCTTGCGAATAGTTCGGCTTTCCCATTTGTACAGCAAGCTGGTCATCAGGCACAGGACGTTGCGTACACTAACCTCTCACTGGTCGAACCGGAGGTCTTTTCTCGGCGCCTGAGCTCGGCGATAAACACTTATTTCCAACTCACCATTCAGCCAACGGGTTATTTTGGTAGCTTGTCGAAGAACCTATCATTATACGGACCGGATACACTACCTGTTACTGATGTCAACAAGTACTTGCCGAGCAACTTTTCCGCTACGAACAACTCCTTCTACGACTGGTGGCCCACATTTGATGCAGTCGTACAGAGCAGCGAATCTCCATTCATTGGGGCAACAACTACAGCAACGACAACGACTACGCAAGAGATATTTGTTGGTAACATTGCATGGCTTTCACTTCTCATGGTCTCCTCGACGACAATTTTCGCCATAGGAGTTGCAGCATTAATGCTGAAGCGACGCACACTTGGGCCTGAGCTGTTTGGTTATGTTACAAGCATGACTTACGAAAACCCATGGATGAAGATTCCCAATGGGGGAACCGGGTTGGACGCTCCAGAACGCGCCCGACTCCTGCGAGATGTTCAGGTGCATGTCGCTGACGTCCGCGGTAACGATGATGTTGGCCATATCGCCTTTGCCGCCGGTGTTCCCCTGCGAAGACTAGAGAAAGGACGCCTCTATTATTGAGCCAGCTCTAGCTTGATGCTGCATAAGTCCGTGCAACCCTGCGCCATACCTTGCTCCACATGGTATTGAGGCGCAGCTATTCAAGCTGTTTTTTGAACAAGCATTACAGATCCCTAGCAGTGACAAGAAGATTGAGATACCTTGGATCATCGCAGTTTGCCGAACAACAAATATCCTCCAAAGTGTTGGCTTCACATCCATATCCTTATAGGTTGAAGAGACGGTAGTCGAAACAGTGGGATTATTACTCCCAATCGGCAGAGGCGACATTCCACGTCCCCACCGTCATAGCTGGCGTAGATCGTGATCGGCGAGCTGGCGCATTTCGACAGCCAGTCCTGCACGTTGAACGGATGAAGGTGTGATAGACCCTGCGCGGCTCCAGGGAAGAATTCAAGCTTCGTTCTTAGGCGCAGTGGAACAAGTAGCGGACGCCTTCAGCTTTTGGCGTCGAGAGGCCGTAAGCGGCTCACCAATGGGCCTGACAATGCAGGGGTTGTCGGCTCGGAGGTGCGACGCAGCATAAAACACACAGGGGTCCGGATCTTTTGCCGATGTGCTAAGCGACTCAGCCCCGACCAATGGTCATCCAGATGCAACATCGAAACGAAACCTCCCTCCTGAGGCCCTACACCGATACATGGAGATCCTCGAGTCCACGTATTCGTCGCCTTCCCGCTTGGGCGTTGACGCATAACGTACCTGCGTCGGCTGTGCGCCGTTGTGGAATTCCCTTGGCTGAGAGCCTCAGCATACCCGGACCGCCCGTTTCATCCCGTAGACGCTCGCCGCTGTGGACCACCAAGATCTCCCATGTACCATGTCTTGCGTTTACACTGTCGCCCTCCAGACTGCTCGTTTGATTAGAGGATCGTTCGAGGATACGCATTGTGGAGGGTCTGGTGGCGGTAGACAATGGACATTGTACCCACCATGCAGATCGTGACACAAGTATAAGAGATCACAGCTGCTTCACAGCAGAATTCTTCATCACAACACACGCTCTCTCAGCAGCTTCTACATTCTTTGCATCCCAGCATTTCTTACAAGACTAGCAGGGCTAGATCACTTACATTCCCTTCACATTTTTCAGCATCTCACTGTCGTTGTACGATATCATCATTACCGCTATCAACACCATGTCTTTCCGAACAATCTTCACAGCAGCGACTGCTCTAGTGGCCACCGCCAACGCCCACGTTCTTATGAAAGCGCCTGTACCTTACAGCGTTGACAAGCTTGATAACAGCCCAATCACCAAGGCTCAGTATCCCTGCAAGTCCCAGAATGGATTCACTGTCTCTACGATGAACCAGATGAAGGTTGGCGAGAAAAACACGCTTGAACTTTCCGGTAGTGCGGTTCACGGTGGAGGAAGCTGCCAGCTTTCGGTAACCCTAGACACCGAGCCTACAGCAGACTCTGTTTTCAAGGTCATTAAGTCGATGGAGGGAGGTTGCCCCGGCGTTGATTCCCAGGCAAACTCATACGACTTCGAGCTTCCTGACAGCATTCCCAACGGCAAGGCCACTTTCGCTTGGACTTGGATGTCAAAGCTATCAGGTCAGCCGGAACTCTACATGAACTGCGCGCCTATTGAGGTTACTGGAGGCTCCGACGACAAGACGGCTTTCGAGAAGCTTCCCAACATGCTTGTCATCAACCTTGACGACTCCTGCGAATCAGTGCCAAACTTCGCCGTTCAGTTCCCTGACCCAGGCAGTGTTGTACAGAAGGGTGCCACCAACGATTTGAAGCCACCCGTTGGTGCCGCCTGCGGTTCGTCTTCTGGTACTCCTGCAGACCCATCTTCCCCAGCTGGTGGTCAGCCGCCCGCTTCTCCTTCCGCTCCAAACGATGGCCAGTATTCTGCTGCTCCCACCTCCACAGCTGGAGGCGCGCCGTCTGCTGCTCCAACATCCGTTGCTGGTGGCGAGCCATCTCCTCTCCCATCCAATGGTGGCGGTGTCTTCGCTCCCGGAGCCTCCAGTGCTGCATCTGGCGCTCCCTCAGCTGTGCCCACTGTTCCAGGCACTTCCACCACGCTCATCACAGTCACTGCCTCGCCAACCGCTCCATCGCCAGTCGCACCCACTGTCCCTGCTGGAACCGGCTCCCCTGCCACACCTTCCACACCTTCAGCTGGTGGTAGCTCAGGCGCTTGCACCGAGAACGGCTCAGTAGTCTGCAACGGCACCGACCAGTTCGGTCTCTGCAACAACGGCGAAGTCGTCTGGCAAGCAGTCGCTGCCGGCACACAATGCACCAACGGCAGTATCACCAAGCGTGGCTACCACGGCCGTATCGCTCGCCCACGCCGGTCCAACCGCCGCCACGGTCACTAGAAGCACAAACAACCCGTTCTATGCATCGCTCACGACGACACATGTTGAAACATGAACTACATTCACACACTCGCTCTCTACACATTTTTCACCCTTGGGCATGAGGTCTGCGACCAGCTTTTTTGTTGTACATACCCAGACTTTCTCTTTGCATATTTGGCGTCTGGATTTTGAGATTTTGCTATAACGAACATTAAGGGGATTGGGTATTGGCAGGGTCTTAGGATGCCTGTCAATAGTCAACATCACCCTCGGCTTAGATGCCTATAGAAATGAAACACGATTTCTGATACAAAGGCTTTTTCTCTGTGGTGCTTTGTGATTGTGCGATTTGTCATCTCCTGCATCCTGTGAAACAGTACGGTACCTTGTCGAATGGTGATAAAGTCGTACATGTAATTATGAGTGGTGTTGGTAAGTTGGTGGTGGTGATGATCAACTTGATGTTTCATACTACGTGAAACAAATCCCTATCAACTATCTACCTATATTCATCTGCTATCAGCCAATTAAACCACCTAATCCAGCAAACCTACCTTTACATCCCATGTTGCCATCTATCGACTTCAACTCGACTCAATCCATTCGTCCCGTCCTCACCCCTCACCATCCGATCTAGGCTGCCAACTCCGGAGTCTGAAACCCCACCTGCCTGACCATCCAGGGTAACTCAAACCCCGCTCCGCCACACTGGGGGCACAAGCATGATCCCTCGACGCGACAAAAGTTGGTGGGTACATTCGGCTTCCGGAAATAGAGCTCGCACTTGCTCAGCCACTGTATCGGACTAGCGCCAGGTACCAGACATTTCGATATTTATGCGGTGGAGTCGGCGGGGTGTGTGGCGGAGTATGTACAGAACATGGCATGGGAGGGGTCTAGATTGTAAGTGAGAGAGCGATTATGCGAAGTAGAGCTTCTCCTAATTTTGTTGAACATGCGCCAGCCGGAAATGGGTATCTATTCATGTGAAGCTTCACACGCGCTTTTGTGCTCCTACGTAGCCCGCTATTTTGTCTGGGTATCAAACAATGCTGCCGCGAGCTTTGCCATGTATATTTCTTTGTCGTGCTCCCAGCGGAAAGCCTTCAAATAGTCTTTCTCGTCGTCATTCTGATTGCATGATTCATCGATACTTCGTGGCAGTTCCTGTGACTGGAGTTGGGTCGGTGGGACTGGCTAGTTCAATGGGCTCGTGTGGTGTCGCGGGCAGTTCAGCAGCGGCGACGTCTCTGATTGTGTTGTTAGCCCTGATGCTAGATGGCCTGATCAAGTCTCATTCTTACCCTGGCACTTCCGTCTGACGATTGTAGGCATATTTTTCCTGAGGCGGAAAGAATCCCTCGTTGCTCAGCTCCATAGGACTTTCAGTTCCATCGTTGGCGGGCTTGTATCCCTTCTTGCGACGCCAAAGGAAAAAGCCAGCAACGAGAGCCGCAAGTAGGCCTACACCAAGTCCGACTCCCAGTCCTACCCCCAGGGCGACGTTGCTCGTTGATCCTCCTGGGTTTGGGGCTGTTGTAGCGGATGCTAAAGTAGTTGGGACTGCAAGCACTGAAGTTGCGCTGGCAGATGAGCTTGGCGCGGTGGAAGTAGCTGATGGTGTCGATGTATGGGTCTGAGTAAAAGACTCAAGAATAATGGTAACGGTGTAGACGTCGGCTGGTAATTGACCGAAGGAGAAGACTTGGAAGGGGTTCTCGCATTCACAGTCGTCACCGCAGCAATACGAATCAGTGTCAGTCGCATTGCAGCTATAGACTGGCGCTCCGTTGTCCTCGATATCTGTCTGATGATTAGCACGTTTCGATGTATGGGTAACAATTTGTTTACCAAGGCATTGTCGAACACAGTTTCCGCTCTTCCATGCTTTATCTGTACATGTCCCTCGATGGTATCGCGCTTTAACAGGATCGTGAGGATCAGATACACAGAGTCCGTTGGAGAGGCAGGCCTGGTTGTCGTAACAGCACCTGTAGGTTGGTGTATTAAGTCAGTGCATGTCTCACACAAGCTCTACACAGACAATACTGACGATGATACTATCGCGTTCGGATTGCAGGCTGTGTCGGAATCTACCACATTGCCATTAGGGAAATAGCAGGTCGCTAGAACAGTCGAGGACACGCCAAAGAAGATGGCAATGTTGGTCGCGACACGCATGATGTATGAGGGCACGAACAGCAGTCGGAGCCAGGAACAAGTGTGGAGTGTGGCACAGAACAGCATGTTCCCGCGGCAGCGGTGACAGGTGCCTTATAGTGGGCTTGACCAGCCACAAGAAAAAGAGCCAAACCGGATTGCTGATGGCATGATTCCACGGCTATATTGCGGACGGATTCTAGGTTTGTAATTTGCTGTTCAGGCATCCCGTTCCGCAATGTCGATCATTGGGGGCGGTGTCTGGTGGCATACATGGCGAACTCGACATGGTGTTTTAGCTTTTGGCTGTTGAGTCTTGCTCTGATCAATTTCACTCGTGGCATTACTATGAAGGAGATATGAATAGATGATCTTGTCGTAGACATAGCACAATGGCGTTGAGTTGGAGATGATGATGATGGTCGCGGAGACTGAGAGGTAAGCATTCGCGAACCAACCGTGCAGCGCTAGCGTGCCGCCGTGTCGGAAGTCGCGTCCGACAATTCTACTGTAGGGCGCAACTCACCACTGCGTCTTGAAGATGACGTGACGGAAACTGCTCGTCCCCGCCCACGACATGTCTGAGCCACGGCGGTCGACAAGGGCCCGCGCCCGCGAAGAAGCTGCCCCAGCTGCTCCCGAGACGCCCAACGAAAAGCCGGCAAGAGGCGCCAAATCGTCATTGAAACGCAAGCGGACCAGCCTCGCCGTCAAAGATTCAGCGCCCTCGACGCCCACGACGGACGGCGCGCCCTTGCCCCCCAAACAAACACTACCCCTCCGCATAGTCGACGGCGCACCTCTTCCCACGCTTCCAGAACCACAGCCTCTGGATCTTCCCTCGAGCGAATGGCAGACGATCCAGCAGAGCGGCGTGCTGGAGACATCCTTCGAGCGGTCCAAGGCAGTATGGCTGTCCGGCGCAAACTTCCGCACCTTCCACGCCCACTTCAATCAGCCCAAGAAGCTGGCCGACCGCACCGATGAAGACAAGGCCAAGACGGCGCGACAGAAGGAGCTGCTCAAGAACTTCCCTCAGGTCGGTGCTGACCGAGTGAGCGTGAAGCTTGTCATCGAGCCGCATACGTTGCCCATCAGACTCTATGGCCCGCGTGAGGTGGGCAAGCCAGTGCACAAGAAGGCTCCGACAGCATCACCATATGCCCCATGGCCGAATCACAACCACAACCAGCCCAATCAACACACCAAATACCAGCCTGGCCAGCCCATACAGCAGAAGCCCCAGCCACGCCCGCCGCAACCTCCCAAACCCGTGCAAGCAGCCCCTCCGCCTCAAGCACCCGCCGCCCCCGCCCCCGATCCCGTTATACACATGCTTGCCGCCAGAGCAGGCACGGATCCCGAGCTGAAGGCTGTCATGAAGATTGTTGCAGCTGGATCCGCAAGCAAGGAGCAGCTCGAGTTCTTCCAGACACACATCAATGAGTTGACGGCCATTCTAGCCAGGCAGAAGGAGGACAAGGCGCCGAAACCAATACAGCCACCTCCAACCCCAAAAGCCCCTCCACCACCGCCCCCAGCACCTAAGCAGATAGCTCCTCCGCCCCCGCCGCGACCGGTTCAGCCTGCCCAACAGCCTATTCAGCCCAGCGCTCCCAAGCCATATAGCCCAGTTCCACCACAAGGCCAACTTCAGCAACCTCCGCTTGTACAGCAACCATATCCACCCTACCAAAACTACAGCAAACCGCCGCAGTACCACCCACCACCGCCGCAGCTATCTACCTACAATCCACCTCCCAGGACAACATACCGCCCGCTAGTTTTCAGTTTTGTGCATGGCAATGAGGACAAGTTTTATTTTCCGTCGTATAGCTTTATGGAGTGGCTTCCCAATGGCACAGGTGCAAAGCTTTCTTTCTTGATTACCAAGATGAAGCCGAAGCAAGAGCCAGAACCTGTTGTCAAGCCTCCATCCACACCCGCTCCAAAGCCAACCCCGACGCCGACCCCCACGCCTGGCAACGTGCCTAACGCGACACCTAACACGCCGCAACCGAATGCCATGGCACCAACGCCCAACCCTACAAATCCTATCTTTGCGCCCATACAACCCGCGACAACAGCTCCGTCAACGCCCTTCGTGCCACCTAAACCTCCTCAACGGATTGAAGACTTCGACGAGATGAACGAAATAGACAACATTGAATTCTACCAGCCCGTCACTGTCTTGCTGCTCATCGAGCACGATGATGGCGACGAAATAGCAAGTGCTTTACCGCGCTCAATACGGCCACCGCATGTTGTAGAGAAGTACATGAATGAGGTGTTTGATAGATGTAAAAGAGCGGATGAAACGTACCTGGCCTTCAGATTGCCAAGGGACGCCGATGAAGGGCCAGAGAAGAGAGTCAGGAGCGGAGAAGTGACGCCTGCGCTTGCGACGCCGACCCAAGATGTTGTCATGGGAGGTATGGGGGCGTCCGCTAGCAGTTTGGCGGAGAAGAAGAAGGCTGGGCGACCTAGGAAGAGTCTTGCCTGAGATGGTGTTAGATCCCTAATTATAGTTCGGGGGCTTTGAAGTAGTCCTCCCTCATGTACAAGTACAAATGATACCCAATCTTTAGCTTTAAACTACCTCTGCTCTGCTTTGTCGTTACAGTTGGTCACAAGTCTGCGTACAGGTCTGTATTGCGATTCTCGAGAGCTTCGAGTCATGTAAGTTGTTGTCATCTCATTTCTGTCTTATTCCTCCTACTCAAATGCGAGATCTGGAGTTATCTTCGCTCAACTCCGATGCCAAGATATCTGCTGCGGCCTGCTTATCCTGGTTAGACCATCCGCAGTATCGCTATCTACCAGTTAACATACGTTTGTGCCTTCATCACACTCCGCCTCCACACTCGAAGTAGAATCAACGCCTTAGGGCCACACTACTGTAATACTTCTTCGTTGCTGATTCTTGACGGTTGAGGATAGCGCAAGCGCGCAATACGTAACCGGAGAGATGCCCAACTTCAAAGCCATCTTCACCAAAGCATACTGGGCATTTGCCATCCTAGGCATAATATGGGCAGCTTTCGTAGGGCTGTTAGTGAACCCTACGGCACAAAGACAGTACGTTCATCAGTATCGTCTCTACGGATGGTAGACACCGGACCTGACACCAACTTAGCGCTCTCTACGCCCATAAGTTCCAGACTTCCTTCTTACATAACGTTTCTAACCCTGAGGAATTTGGATTTGCGAGTAAGCATCTTGCGTTAATCTCTGCTATTTTCGATACTAACTAAATCCTGTAGAGGGCCAGGTTCAACCTTTCTGGCTTACTACTGCGGATCAAGAGAAGCTGTTTTGCTGGCATGTGCTTCCTTTAGATGTTTATCTTGAAAATGAACACGAGCTTTACACTAAGGCTGTTTCAGGAGAAATTGTAGATGAGTTGAAGGGGACGGTTGGGGAGAAGCTGTTGAGTAGTGACCCGGAGAGCAGAGTCGTGGTTAACTTTCATGGTGTAGGTCTTACTTTCGTTGGGTCTTTACTCTTTCCTTTAGCATGTCTGTCTTCTATCTCTGTAAAACCTGCAATCCTTTTGCGTCTTATTTCTCTCTCCTTTTCGATTTCAGGTCCCTCATTCCAGAACCTACGCCCCTTCAATCTCCCCACCAGTCATTCACATGTTTCAACACCATACAGTTTTGACCAGCTCATGCTAACTCACCCAGAATGCCGGTCACATAGCCCAAGGACATCGCCCATCAGCTTACCGCTCCATCTCCGGCATCCCAAAAACTCACCTGCTTACCTGCGACTACCGCGGCTTTGGTCTATCTACCCTAAACAATGACCCTCACATCCCTACGGAAACCGGTCTCATAACTGACGCCACTTCCTTGATATCCTATCTCAATGACGACCTTGCTCACCCAAGCACCCGCACCGTCCTCCTAGGCCAAAGCTTAGGCACCGCCGTAACATCAGCAGCAGCCCTCTACTTCACCCAACCAACATCTGAACTAATCCCTGCCATCTCGCACCCATCCACCATGGCGAGTTCTAAACGGCAATTTGATGGGTTCGCTGGCATAGTGCTAGTAGCGCCCTTTACCTCCTTGCCCCAACTCCTCAAGACATACAAAATTGGTGGCATCTTCCCTGTCCTAAAACCACTACAAGCCTACCCCAGAATAGCAAACTTTCTCACATCTCGCATCATCGACCAATGGCCCACACTTCTCCGTCTGCGGACTCTGATCTCGGCACCTTCCAGCAAGAAGAACGGGTTCCACATCACCCTCCTACATGCGCGCAATGACCAGGATATCACTTACTGGGAATCCGAAGCCTTATTCGGGCCACTGGCTTCTCAGATGTTAGGAGAGGAAGGTGTCGTCGCAGAGGAAGAAAGAAGGACGATTCAGGGTGGTGACAGAGTGAAGAGGGGGGCTTTTGCGTATAAGAAGGTGGAGGATGATAAGGGGGATAGAATGGTGGAACTGGAGGTTGTGAGGTTTGGTGGGCACAATGAGGTTGTTGGGTGGACGCAGGTTAGTCTTGCGGTCAGGAGGGCCTTTGCAAGAAAGACGTTGAGGCCGGGGTTGGACGTGGAGTAATTCTTTGGAGAGATCAGGGATCGGAAAGAAAGGGGAGGACATGGATTGGGTTGGTGAAACTGGAGCTGTTGAGGGGATATCATTCGTCGTCATGTGGCGGCGTTATATACTACATGTACAATACTTCTACACCTTTCTACCCATTCATCCCACAAGAAATGCGCCAGACGTCCGTCAACGTAGATAGATGTAGGCTTCTAGCCCTTAGATAATGAAAAGTTTGTCATAGCTTTCCCACAGTTTCTTTTCTCTGATGCGACCCATGCTCAGAAGGATGAGCTCAAGCATTCTTGTCCTTTTGTTCTTTTTCGTACTTAGCCACGAGCTCCTTCTGCAACTGTGGCGGCGCAGGACTGTAATGGCTGAATTCCATGCTGAACTCTCCCTTACCCTGCGTACTAGCACGCAACTGACTACTGAAGCCAAACATGCTGTTCAAACTGCAATCCGCGTAGACGGTAAAGTCCTCAGGACCAATCTCCGTATCGTTGATAACAGCGTTACGCTTGTTCAGCAGACCAACAACGGAACCCTGGAACTCGTTGGGCGCGGTGATGGTGGTCTTCATAAGCGGTTCGAGGACCTGTGGCGCACCAGCTTGGAAGGCTTTGCGGAAAGCCTGTTGTGTAGCATTCTTGAAAGCCATTTCCGAGGAATCGACAGCGTGGGTAGCTCCGTCGTTGATGACCATGGAAGTACCCAGGACCTTGTGGCCGAGAAGTGGTCCCTTGGCTGTTGAGGCCATGAAACCCTTTTCACAGGCAAAGAGGAACTTTTCGGAAATCGTGCCACCAGAAATTTGCTGCTCGAACTTGTTCTCGCCTAGGGCTTCGCTCGGCTCCATCCAGCCTACTACACGGGCGAAGTCTCCCGATCCACCACTCTGCTTCTTGAGTGTGTGGTCAAAGTTGACGCGCTTGGTAATTGTCTCGCGGTAAGCGACTTGTGGTTGTCCAGTCTCGCACTCGACGCGGTATTCACGGCGCATGCGCTCCACGTAGATATCGAGATGCAATTCTCCCATACCAGAAATAATGGTCTCTTGCGATTCGGTATCGGTGTGGACTCGGAAAGTAGGGTCTTCGCGCGTGAATCGGCTCATAGCTTTGCTGAAGTTTGGTGTGTCCTTGGTGTGCTTGGGCTTGATTGACAGCGAGATGACGGGTTCGGGGACGAACATGGAGGTCTAACATGTTAGCTTGGCCACAGCATAGCAATGATGCCGAGTACTTACCATAGTGTATCCGAGGCCACCATCAGTGAAGGTATCGCCAGACGCGCAGTCGACACCGAACACAGCGCAGATTTCTCCAGCGCCAATCTCGGGAATCTCCTCCATATCGTTGGAGTGCATGCGCACAATCTTTGGAATCCTAACCTTCTTGTCCGACCTCGCGTTGAATACGTTCATGCCCTTTTTCAAGGTACCCTGGTACACACGGATGTACGTCAATTGTCCAAAACTGCTCTCTTCCAACTTGAAAGCCAAACCAACAAATGGCAATGAGTTGTAAGAGACCAGCTTGACCGGAGCTTCCGCTCGCTTCTTGTCCAATGCCATGTTCTCGACTTCGGAAGGGTTCGGTAGGTAATCGCAAACGGCGTCGAGCATCGGTTGGACAGACTTGTCTGCAAGTGCTGAACCCATCATGACTGGGGTGAACTTGAGAGAAATGGTAGCTCGTCGAATTGCAGCCTTGATCTGGGGGATCGTTGGTTCCTGCTCGTCCAAGAAGAGCTCTGCCATCTCGTCATCGACGTCGGCAAGTGTCTCGATGAGCTTTTGTCTCTTCTCCTTGCAGAGCTCAATGATGTCCGTAGGAATTTCGTCCGTCTCCCGAATAATTTCACCCTTGGGTCCTTCGTTGTAAATCGCCTTCATCCTGACCAGATCTACGACGCCCAAAAAGCCGTCCTCACGTCCAATGGGTACTTGGAGGGCCGCAGCAGGAATGCGAAGCTTCTGGTTAATCTGGTCGACAGCCTTCCATGGGTTGGCGCCCATACGGTCCATCTTGTTCACGAAAGAAATTCTAGGAATATTGTATCGCCTCATCTGCCTGTCGACGGTGATGGTTTGACTCTGCACACCACTAACAGCACAAAGAATCATGACAGCTCCATCCAGGACGCGCAGCGCTCTCTCCACCTCGATGGTAAAGTCGATATGGCCGGGTGTATCGATCAAATTGATGTGGTATTTCTCCTCCTTGCCTTCGTCATTCTTCTTGATCCAATCACAGAAAGTCGCAGCGGACTGGATAGTGATACCCTTCTCACGCTCGAGATCCATAGAGTCCATCTTCGCACCCACGGCATCTTTGCCTCGGACTTCGTGTATAGCGTTGATTCGGCCGGTGTAGAAGAGGACGCGTTCGGTGGCGGTCGTCTTTCCAGAGTCGATGTGTGCTGCGATGCCAATGTTTCGTACTCTCGATAGTCGCTCCCATTCGACAGGGTCTAGGTTCTCGACAATCTTCTCTTGCGTCAAGGTAGATGGGTCATCCTTGGCCTGCTCTAACCTAATTTCTCAATCAGTCTTCAATTGCTTTCTCGCCATCGCAAAGCCAGATTGTGGTACATACACTTGGGCGGCCGCAGACTGCCATCTTCGCTGTGGCTGTGTTGTTTGACTGCCTATCCATGTGTCGGTCTTGGTTCCATTGGTATAAGGTGTGCGCGTTGCCGCAATCGTCGAGAGAGCGCATCGTGACGACGTTCTGGCAGCCGACCGAGCAGAACAGCGGAGACTGCTCGTGGCGAGCGATTGCGCTCGGAAAAGAGATGGAACCCTCATCTTGAACACCCTAAGACGCTTCAAGAAGAAAAAGAACCAAAGGACGACGCGGGGTCTGCTGTCGCTTCGGATTGTCGAATTGCCCGCCAGGAAAAAGTTGGGCCATCGGAGTTTCGGGCGGAGGTGCCAGTCACGTGCCGACATGCCACACATGTATAGCGGGCATTTCTTTGGCGCGATTGGAGTACAAATTGGAGTGAAGAATGGGATTGACATCTACAGGTAATTTCTGCCAGCTTCTGCGAAGCTTATCGCTAAATGAACAACTATGCACGCAAATAGTCCGTATCCAAACCCATCTCTCCGCTCCTTGTCCTTAGGTATCCGCCCATGAATATCATTTGCGCCAAACAATCGCTCCAGAAAATGCTGTAAAGAAGTGAAAGAAGGGTAAAAGCTGGGTAGATAGAATTTGTCTTGAATCCGTGTGGTTTGCGGTTAATGGCAACCCGAGACAGGGCCATGTATTGCAAACATAGGACTTTCGGATTGTTGTACCGCAGGATGTGAGTTACAGGCCGTCTTGTCTACCGGATGGTCTCCTCCTGGAAGTTTGGTGTCTGAATCTCTGCGACCGATGATTCTACATCTTGGACTGGAGTGGCTGCCTTCTCTGGTTCTTCTGGTGTCTCATTGATGGTAGCCTCTTCAGGTGCCTGCTCAGAATGCTCGGCTTCCTTTGCAGGCTCATCCTCAGCCTTGTGCTCTTCAGAGTGTCCGTTCGTTACGACTTCCTTTGCCTTGGCTGCGACCTCTTCCACCTTCTTCTTTCCTTTCTGTAGAGTACTAGGCTTAGAGGCTGCTGGAGCTTTACGGGGTGGAGACGAAGCCTTCTCATGGGGCTTGTCGTGTGTCTTGCTGGAGCTGGCAGCTGTTGGTCGCATCATACGCTCAAGGAATCCCCCTTTAGGCGCAGCGCTTGCAGTTGAGGTACGTGATTCAGGTCGCTTGGGCGCGCTGGGTGCGAGGGACGTTCGTGAGGTTTTTGGTGCCGCAGTCTTTGGTGGTGCAGCACGGGTTGTAGTGGACGGCTTGCGTGTGACCTTGGGCTCCTCGCCATGTTTGGCAGCTGAGGCAGCGGTGGGCGCGGTCAGACGAGATGGCAGGCCGACTGGACGGGTAGGCGACTTCGGGGTTGGCTTCTTGAAGCCAGTTGGTGAGGTGCTGTAGCAGTGTTAGTACCGGCGCATTGCTCCAAATCGTATTGGACGTACCTTTTACGTGGGGCGGAGGTGGTTGGCTTGGGGATTGCAGGCTTCTTGTTCTCGCCAGGTGCAGCAGCAGGCTTAGCTTTAGCTGCGGCAGTGGTGTTAGGCGCTGTAGCTGAAGAGGATGATGCTGCTGGTCGCAGAGAAGTGCGGCTCGTCTTTGCTGTAGGAACCTTGGCCGCCGGAGCTTTCGTTACAGGAGGTTTGGCGGTGGGCGCTTTGACTGGCTCCTTGGGAGCTGTTGGCTTTGGCGCAGCTGCCGGCCTCGTAGTCTTTGCCGGGCTAGGCTTCGGAATGGAGGCAGGTGTCTTGGCCTTGGTAGGGGTTTTCGGTGCAGCTTTAGGTAGTGGGCTTTTGGCGGGTGCGGCAGGTGCTTTGGTAGATTCGGTGGTAGAAATTGCGGCAGGCTTCTTCAGCTCCGACTTCTTAGCCGCAGGAGATCCATCGTCCTTTGCTTTGCTCTCAGCCGGTACAGCAGGTTCCGCAGCAGGTTCATCGCTCGAAGCTGCGACCTCTGTAGGCGCAGAAGGAGTAGTAGGCGCGTCGGAGACCGCAGTCTCCTCAGTGGGCGCTGCTGGCCGTAGGGCAAGCTCTTCCTGAACTCCGGTCACATGCTTGTCTGGGTTCTCAGCAGGTTGGGCAGTGGCTGGAGCAGGGGCGGATAGCTCTTGGTTCGCGGCGGCAGCTTCCTTTTCGCCAGCAACCTCCTCTGCGATGGCAGCTTCTTCGACAACAGCGGCTTCCTCCGCAATGGCGTTTTCCTTAGCAACAACAACGTCATCGTCGACGGCAGCTTCCTCCAGCGCAGGCTTGCTCTCCTCTACAACAGCTTCTTCGGTGGGGACTGCAGGCTTGAGCGCAACGTCTTCCTGCGCGCCTGTAGTAGCTTTGTCTGGGTTCTCTGCAGGCTGGGCGGGAGCTGGCTCTGGCTCGGGGACTGGGTCGGCCTCAGCGACACTCTCTTTGGTCTCGACTGGAGTCTCGTCGACTGGGATTTGGTCAATCTCAGGAGCTGGCACGACGACGGCTGCCTCCTGCTTGGCGGCTGCAAAAGCAGAGTCGGGAAAGTCGGAGCCCTTCATGATGGCGCCCAGGTTGACCATGTCGGCGGTCGAGTCGGCGTGCATAGGCGGAGCTGGTAATGAGGATTCTTGCGATGCGACAGCCTGTTCTGGAACAGCTTCCGGGATGGCGACGCTCTGTCTGCGCTGTTCCTTCTCCTCGCTGACGGCTTTTTTGAGCTCAGCAAGCTCGTCGGGTTTGTCCTGGCTCACGCGGAAGCTCTCTCGTCGGGTCGCGGCGACGCTATTCGAGGGCGTGCCCTTGGTCTGGCCCAGGTCGGTCGAGGCGGTTGGGGGATGGGCGCCGGTAGGCTCGACGGAGACAAAGGAAGCGCGCACCTTTGACTTGGGGCGTTCTTGAGCGTCGGTCGCAGCTGCATTGTCTGTAGGGGAGCGGCCGCGGGGCTCAGGCGAGGCAGCGGCGTTTCCGTTCTCAAACATTGCGCGTAGATTGCGCACGCCGTTGGACATGGCTGCAGTAGGACGAGGCGATCGTCAGTGGTGGGTATCAGCAATGCGGTGTTGGGCGTCGGTCGTGGTAGGATTAAGATATATGAGGATACGTGGGAGATGGCCGTGGCCGCGCCTGAAACCCGGCCAATTTGTTTATGTACAAGCAGTGACGACTGCGCGACAGGGATATCTGGCGTTGCACTAGGAGGGTGCAACTTACAACAGCGCGTCTGGATGTCAAGCAGCGTTCAATTGGTCTTTGTTCCAAGAGCAAGAGTGGTGACAATGAGTGAACCCCTGGGGAAGTCGTCAGGTGGAAGGAGTCGATGGTGCTCCCGAGTAACCAAGACAACTGCGCCCAAAGCATCATAGCGTTCCAGTGACGTCTAGCCTCGAGCCAAACTCGCGCACAGCACAACAGTGCGCGTTGCGTGTGCACTGTATAATCTGTCATCTGGACACCCGACATCTAATTTACCTCCGTATCCCTTTACCTACGCCCCTGAGTGCCCTCGTTGCACCCCAAACCTCTCACGGCATTCACCGCTTGTTGTATATACCGCATCGTCGGCCAGCCTCCAACGTCTATCTCCAGTGATGCATAAAAAGCAAAAAAGGTCAAGAAAAAGGTCCCGATGCGATTGGCAACTTGACGCGAATGCACTGGGTGAATAGTCGGAGCTACGCCAATCACGTTGCGTCTAGGCATAATTCCAGCGCAATTTCCTGTCCTTGGCCAATCACAAGCGATCTACTATAATACTCCCTAGTCTCCTAATTACGTTCAAAAGTAACACATGTGAGTGAGATGCAATACCGCTTCCATAGTTATGCTGGTTGGAACAAAGTCTCTTCTGGGTGATGTTGACATTAAAACATTAAACACTATCCTCTCCATATTCGAGTGCCTTCTCCCAGACATATCCTCAACTACACGGGACTCTCCTGATCCTCCTCACAGCTTCCACTCGCCGTCCCACATCTCACATGCAAATCATCTGACGCACCACCAATCCAAACCCCATAGTCTCCATCCACAGCAGGAACAACCCAGTTCTGTGATACAACATCCCAGACACTGAGATCTTTACGCGTCACTCTCATGCTCAGCGTCTGACTAGCTCCGGCCTCTAACTCCCTCGTCTTTTCAAAATCCCGGAGCTGGATGACAGGTGTGTCAATAGTGACTTCACTCGGGAACTGGACGTAGAGTTGTGCGACAGCTTTACCCACGCGGTTACCCGTGTTGGTTACGCTGACGGTGATGTCGAATGCCGTGTCGAATAATGCGGGGTTTCCGCCCTGTGCGCCACCAGCTACAGGACCAACTTTCTGGTCGTTCGAGTAACCGGCTGGATATGGATACTTGGTCGTTGAGTTGCCGATCTTAGCTGCAGCGTCGGCATCGTTCTTCTCGAGCCAGGAGTAGAGGTATCGCCAGATGCGGTTGAAGTTTTCTGGCCAATATGCCTCTGAAGCTGGAGGAATGGCGGTGGAATAGGTGGGTGTTTCGCCTTTCGCGGGACGAGCTGGAGGCGTTGCTGTAAGCGGAGTCACTGGCGTAATGGTCGCGTTGGAAAAAGAGAACGTGGTGTAGCCGAGACCGTGACCGAAAGCATAGCGGGGTGTAATGTTGGCTTTGTGGAAGTGACGGTAGTCAATGTACAGGCCCTCTGTAAAGGTATCCTGTGGCTGCCCAATCTGATATCCGACGAGGCTCAAAGATTCTGGGTAGTCATCCTCGGAGTTTGGTAGAGTGTACGGTAAATGACCGGATGGAGAGACGTCCCCGAAGAGAACTTGCATTAGTGAGTCTCCGGCTTCTTGGCCAGGCAGGTGAGCGAACAGGACTGCTTTGACGGAAGGCAGGTCGTGCCATTGATCCATGAGAATTGGGCCAACGGTATGTACTACGACAATAACGTTGGAATATTCGGCAGCTACGTCCTTGATGAGCTTGTCACCGTTGTGCCACAAGTTGAGGTTCGAAGAGGTCCGGTCTCCGGGATTGTTCTCTACGGTAATGTAGTTCTCACCAGAATCAGCGGTAACGAAGACAACTGCAGTATCGTTCGGTGATGGGTTCGAGTTTCCTGGAAAAGCATCCGTGTTGAAGAACTGGTAGTTGGCCCCGCGAGTCTTGAAGCCATCAATCGGGCTGTTCATATAAGGGTATCTCGCCGAGCCGGAGCCCCATCCCATTCCTAACGTACCTTTGTTGCAGCCTTGGTCCGCACACGAGTTGATTCCATCTGGGTTCTTCTCAGCATCGGTGCCAAACACCTTCAGTGTGCCATTGGGAGACAGAGGCAACAATCCATCCTGGTTCTTCAAGAGCGTGATGGCAGAGCGAGCTACTTCACGAGCGACCTCTGCATGATTGGCCTGTACATCCACGAACTCGTTCACAACACCTTGGGGTGAGATGAGAGCGCCAGGGTAGAGAGGGCCTTCAGCATTTTGAGTGTTAGTATCAAAGTTTGGTCGTGGGTACCCCTGGTCCTGGCCCATCTTGAAATAGGCAGCGAGAATTCGTGTTACTGCATCATTCAAGCGGTCCAACGGCAGAGACCCGTTGAGAACTGAACGCGTCTGCTCGTACATCCAGTAAGAGTTTCCGAAAAGGGGAATAGTGTGGATGTCGCCAGGCATGGACATGTCTAAACCAGCGAGAGCTGAAGGAACGCCGGAGATTTGAGCCAACCAGTCAGACATGACGAAGCCTTGGAAGCCAAGCTCGTCCTTCAAGATGCCGTTGATCAAGTAGCTGTTCTGTGAGCATGCACTTCCGTTGACAGCGTTGTAAGCGATCATCACCGAACCAACGCCAGACCGTACGCCTTTTCAAAGTCAGCCAACGGTACATATTCCAAGCCATTGTAGTAGGCAAGGTCCGACTTACCCTCAGCGAACGGCCAAAGATAGAGCTCATGAAGAGTGCGATCGTCCAGATTGGAAGAGATACCAGGTTTGACCAGGTTGTACATGCGGTACTCTTCCTGTTCGTTCGCAATCAGATGCTTGATTGTGGCTATGACACCAGTGCTCTGAATGCCTTCAATGGAAAGAGCTCCACCAAACGCCTGAAGAACCGGATCTGAACCAAAACCTTCCCAGTTTCTACCGCCACGTGGTTTGCGACCTAGGGGTCCGACTGACGGTCCGAGGTGTACGTTGACTCCCTTGCCACGGAACTCTTCACCAATCGCAACTCCACGGCGGTAAAGGAGATCCTTGTCCCATGTGGCTCCAACGGTAATTCCGGCAGGAAATGCAGTATTATGGTCCGTGTTTCTTACACCTAGAGGCCCATCTTGCAAGCACAGTTGAGGGATGCCGACTCTCAATGCGCTGCCTGTATTTCCCACGCATCTTCCCATGAAGATTCCACTGCCAGCTGTGAGATTGGTCTTCTCAGCAAGTGTCATATTCGAGACAAGCAAAGACGCTTTTCGGTAGCTCTCAGTCCAGTCGGATGTCCATCCTCCATGCGGAGCTAGGTAGAGTCAGTATTGCTGAATTTAGCATTGAAAGGATTGCTTAATATCGCTGCTGATGACATACACGGGTAGTAGGGTGCCGCAACATATCCAGCTGGAACAGGATCGCGCTGCTGGATAGCCGCACCCGCGACGATTGTCGAAAAACCTAGAGCAAGAAAGGAAACCATGATGAAAGAGTGACTTTAGGTAAGCAAACGAGCGTCAAACAAGACGATAGCCTGAGATCAACTTGGGAAGGGAACCGTGGTCCTTTGTATATAGGCCCTTGCAGAAGCAATATTCAACCCCGCAACACCAAGCCGGTGTGAATATCACATTTTTACCAGAGCTAAGCTCGCGCTAGTCATGGTGTTGTATGGTGATGGACACACGGTGGGTGACGCGGATGACGGAAACAGGTATAAGACCGAGCAGCATTGTCGTGGATCAAGGCTCAATGCTGGGGTCAAGGATTTAGACCGGCTAATGATCAGTATGCTTGTTAAGCGGGCGACAAGGGCTTGCTGTTGCGCAACCACCAGAAACCAGATCACATGCGAAAATGAACGTGTGTTCGTTGTTCAAGGCGTGTTGAACTGCAATGTTCGGTACATGCTGGGAAGGTACTTGGGTACCAGGACGAACATCTTCACAAGATCAGCTGCTTGTTTGGTATGGAGTCAAGTTTCGAGTGATGCTTAGTTGATCTTCGTCTGAGATACTAGGCTCAGGACTGGGGCAAGAAGTCGCTGTATTGCCAAGTTGGCTGTTTCCTTCGAGTTGCGAGTGCAGTTGTACAATGGCAGATATGGTCAAGTGTAAATTGCGATAGCAGCTTTCAATGCGCCATCTGCGGCCAAGAGAGTCACACGTCGTGTTGAAGCTCATAACGGCAGCTGCATGTATTTGTTCCTAAGCCACGTCAATGCTCCTAGCACATGTCAAGATGCCCGTTGGCTCGGGCGGTCGATGAAGGACTTGCGGGGTGAATGTAAAGATGGCAAGGAGAAGAGCGATGATGGACAGGGGCAGAGTGACCTCGGCTGCACTAGCGTATCCCCTTTCTGCTTCCGGAGCACCCATCAAGCAGCAACTCCGTCAACACCATCGCGTCAGTGGACCTGTGATCTCATATTCAATCACATCGGCTTTATGCATATCTATGTCCCCTGAGATGGCGTATTGGATGTGATCTTAGCATACATCAACCGGGCTGCTGGCTCAACTCGAATCTTGATCGTCGAGCCAGGACGGTCCTTGCCAGCTGAGTACGTGAAGAAGGCAACTGGAAGCGGTAGTCGAAAGGCTAGTGAGCAGTAAACACACTTGCTTGACACATTGCTTTCGTAAGCAGTATCCTCCAATCCACCAGGTGCCGCTCAAGCGCCCGTGAAGCAGCAGAGCGAAATTACGCTCCATAACCCTCAAGCTCGCGGAGTGCATTCAATCGTCCGTCCACGAATAGCATGGGCTTTGTAACGAGTTGCCGGGTTCCGTGAGTGATTCTGGGTTAGTTACTTCCGTGCAAGACCGGAGTAGATCCGACACGCGTAGCGATTTGGATATCGAGCGCGTGTGCGTGTCACGATATGTGAATTTAGTCCATCTTAGACGGTATGTTGGAGAGAAATTCGCGCTTTTACAAAGATCGAGTGGTAGAAGGTCAAAGATTAGCTCATGGGTTTCTTTCCACAAATTAGCGAGCTACCTAGTTATTCAAGCACACTCGCCGCCAGCACTGAGCGGTTACTATTTTCGAAATATCCCATCTAGCTACAATCCAGAGCCTAGGGATTCTTTTTCTCGAACATGCGATACGGAACGCTCAGTCCGCGGTTGAATGGAGAATTGCAAAATGTGACGATGTCGGTATGAAGGAGGCTTGGTGCATGCCGTTATCGATTTTTGTGAATTCGGATGCCGAGGTTGGGGCTGAGGGACGAGGCTGTGTTAACGACCATCTACGCCCAGGCATCAGACGAACGCTTCTCTTGTGCGACCTGACGGTTTGTCGAATCGAGAAAATTTATCGGTGTCGCACGACCAGACTACAGCTTCTTGTCATCTACCGCTCGGCTATGCCCATACCTTGAATGTGTGGGTAATGAAGCGCGGAAACCTCTTGCATATACCTGTCTCTGCTATTGCTCCGGGGCGCGTCAGTTCCGATCCGACCGCAAGCGGTGCAGTCTAGCGCTTTCGAAACACTGCTACAGCTTGTCAGGCATCGATCATCAACGTTCGCCAGAGGCACAGTAATGGCCGGCAGCAGTTCACGGGCGCTTCTCATGGGAGCCTTGGACAGAACGTGCTTTCGGCTCTTCCCGCGGTCCCGCTGTGATCTGTGATCTTGTTTGCTGAAACGACCCACAACCCACACTCGCCCATCCAGTGACCGCGCCTATCGTGAGCGCCTCGCGGGCTGTCGGCCGGCCGCATGTTCTTTTTCTGTGTATGGGTCTGCTATTATGAAGCCATCCAGGGTTTCTTTGAACCTCCAGAGCCCATAGCGCGGGCTTCTTTGGAACGGCTTGCTGACCTTCCACTCCACGTTTCCGCACCTGCGTCTATCTGCAGGTTCCCGAGCTCAGCCCTACTGAGTATTGATGACTACGTCCTACAAGTTTCCGGCCTGGTGAGGCACCCCTTGCCCTTGTGTCGCTTGCCAAGGTCTTTATTTGGGCCATATGCGCTCGTCGAATCAGCGCCAGATTAGCCGCCCTTCCCCTCCATCGCTGCCCCTCCACCACTCAGCAGCAGTATTATTCTTAGACACAGCCGCATTAGGGAGTGCAGCAGATATTCTCAAACAGGCGCTTTCGCTACAGTCTACTCTCCCTTGTTCGAGGGACGAACCGCTCACGTTTTGTACTTCGACCATTCACAGGCCCAAATTTGGCCTGCCCTGGTCCCTTATGATGGCGCTTGGAGCCACGACCCAGTGAACAGCCTCCTCTTCGCCTAGTCGCACATCCCATTCTCGGTAGATACAGATCGATCCGGCGATTACAGAAACATGTCCAGGTTTCAAAACAATTCTCCGAGAGACCTACTGGTCTTTGTTGTCGATGGAGGCTCAGTGTGCGGCTCATTGTATAAAGACGTTCGCCATACCCCTTGATTTAGGCCTCAGACAACACAAACCCAAAGGTACGAACAGCAGCTCTTTCGTTTTCACTCTCGAGGATATCTCCTACCTTTCGTTCCTCATACGTCACTGTCGTTCTCCTGCGCCAGCTTTACCTTAATCATAATATCCTCCTCGGTCGCTTCCATTACTCTCAACTTCATCCTCCCCCCGTCTTTCTATATCTCTGTTCCAGTCATAAGTTTCTTGTCTCGATAGTCTTTTCTTTCAATTGGTCAACATGCCTAAGATTGAAAAGGGTCCAGCGCACCGCCTTTCTGTATCGACCGCATCAGCCGCAGGCGGAACTCGGAGCTCCTCCTGGTCAGCTAAAGATGACGAAACACTTATCCAGGCCAGGGCACAGGGCCTCAACTGGAACCAAATCGGACCAAAACACTTCCCTTCTAAGACCCCCAATGCTTGTCGCAAACGGCACGAACGGTTGATGGAGAGGCAGAATGCAGAGCAATGGGACGGCGTGAAGCTGGACGTGCTAGCACAAGCCTATATGGAGGTGCGACGGGACATGTGGAGTATGCTAGCTGCCCGGGTTGGAGAGAAGTGGCAACTGGTAGAGACAAAGGTACGTCATGTGCGCTCATAAGTAATACTGAAACAGCTGATATTAACTTCACTTAGTGTATGGAGAAGGGGCTAAAGAATCTTACCCAGGCCTATAGGTCAGCGCAGAAGAAGCTCGAGAATGGTACCTACCACGACCATGAAGATAGTGGAGTAGGCGTTTCTGACCTCGAAGAAGAACAAGAGGATCATCATGTGGACTTGCACACCCTGTCCACAATCCCCGATACTCATTACTCCGCATACCCAAGCTACCCTATGCAGCGTCAACAACGGGTACCGAGCATCCAGTCCATGCTGCAACCGATGCAACAGCACCAACAACATCCCATGCAACCATCGATGCAGCAGCCAATGCAACAATCAATGCAACCATCGATGCAGCAAAATATGCAGCCGCCGATGCAGCAGACCATGCCGCAGCAGATGCAATACTCTCCGCATTCGCATCATCTTTCGCACCAGCAATAGACGCTCAGTGCCATTGCCAGCAAACTTGGCCTTTCTTCAACATCTCTTATCCGTCTTACATCTCCTTGTCACGATCCTTACGAACTTTCGTCTTGCGCCTAAGACGGCAAGCGGTTTCTTTCTGTACCAATACCCCATCGGAAACACTCCGATATTAGAGTTTACCCCCTCTGGTAGCTCTCTTCGCCAAACATTACCTCAACGACAAACGCCAACTACTCACATTGGTAGTTTTCTTATACCCCTTGAGCATTCTACATTCGCATGGAGGACTGTAATCAGGACGGAATACCAGGACACTCGCTTCCACCTGTACCGGCGACACGACGGAGGCTTAATTGGCGTTTTTTTTTTCTTCAACTTTTCAGTACATGCTTTTCATGGCAGCACGTGAGCATTGGAACAAAACTCCCTCGCAGATTGTGCAGCCATACATTTCTTGTCAATGTTAATTATTTCGTTTTACTGTCTATCATGCATGCTCAATAGTGGTGAAGCTGTCATTGACTATAGGGAGCTGCTCAGATCCTCCGATGTACATGTATGGAGACTATACCTTCCAACGCGACTTTCCAAGTAATCTGCAGCGATGTCTATCTGACAGGCACAAGAATCCATATGCGTCGACTTCCCAAGCCGTAGGTAGTCCGGTCACGTTCTGTGTTGCAACAACAGCATAGCCCCCAATACGCACACAGCCTCACCCATATTCTACCTGACCCCGCAATCCCCAAACATAAGCATCAAAGAAAACCGATACAATCGTGCATCGTGATGCAGCCTCCAAATAGACATCTTCCTGCAGCGGCAAGATAGCTACCCGTCACGCTTCACCACGCGACGAAGCATGCGGCTCACCTAAGGCTCTGACACGCGATGACACGCGAGTCTGCCGTCGATCTCGGAGAACGATGGTGCCGCGCTAAAAGCGTATCATGACATAACCACCATTTCGGGTGTGCGCGCCAGACACTTGGCCCCCAATTTCTCACAATGCGCGAAACC